CAACCCTAGATCTCAAATTTTTCTTCTTGAATCATGCCGAGGAGGAAGACCTTAGTTCGCAAGAGTAGTAAGAAAGGAACCAGATCTGAGTCAATTCCTTCCATCTCTCCTCGTCGGCTGTCTCCAGACTCTCCAGAGCTTTTTGAGGATGTTTCGATGGAACCTATTACAGGTATCTATCTCAGGGACCCAATATCTGTTGAAGCTTTTACCAAAATTTATGCCAAGAAAAAAATTTTATCTGGACACTGTATTTCTCCTGTCATCTTGAATGATCAAAGCCTTAGGATTAAGAGCTGGTTAGAGGGTATGGGTTGGCTAGAATTTGCTACCCTAAATTGCAGATCTTATCCTAGGTTAGTTAAGGAGTTTTATACAAACTATAGATATTCTGATTCCTCTGATTCCACCTCTTATGTCCGAGGTAAACACGTGGTTTTTAAGGCTGCTCATATCAATGAATTATTTAATCTTCCACATGATGAAATCAGCCTGAGTTTTGACAAATCCAAAATGCCTGTAACTAAGAAAATCGTGTTTGGAAACTCTGTCAGTCCTACTGACAAAATTCATCTTCATCACTTTAGTGCTGACACCAGGCTATTGTTGTGGTTTGTGACAAAAATTCTCTGTCCTCGACAAGGTTCACATGGTCGTTTTACCAAAGAGAATCTTTATATGATGGGTCTGATTATGCAAGGCAATAAACTTAACTTGGGGGCACTAATTATTAGCCACATGAGAAAGGCAATGAATTCTAGTGAAGAATATTTGCCTTATGGTCACCTTCTTACCAACTTCTTTGAAAAATGGGGAATTGATCTTTCCAAGGAACAATCTGAAGAAATCTCTGAAGATGAAACTCTGACTGAAACTGCACTAAAAAGAATGAAATTTGAAAAGCAAGACGGTACTTGGGTAAGGATTGGTGATTCACCAGAAGTTGAAGGTTCGCTGGGAAAAGTCTTAGCCAACATTGATCTCTTGAGTATCCAAATTGAAGCTGAACTCAGCTCTAAATTTGCTGCCTTTGAAGCTAAAATGACTAATCACTTTTCCATGCTTGAATCCTCCCTGAACAACAAGCTGAATCAACTGGAAAAATCTGTGGCCGCATTGACTAAATCCAACAAGAGGAAATGTCCATCATAGTCACCTAGATGCCATGCTTTGTGCTTATTTTGATTTATTATGTTTATCATAATTTCAGTATTTTGTACTCTTATAATTTCTGACTTTTGCGTACTGCTATTTGTGTTTTTGAACTCTATGCTATGCTTTGTGTTACTGTGCACATTTCTTTTTGCTAATGACAAAAAGGGGGAGAGGAACTTAAAGATGAAACTTATCTTTATTTGTGCGTGCAAATCCTGTTGAATCTTGGAATCATATGTTGAGGGGGAGCTTACACTTATTATCTTTATTTGTGCAAATCCTGTTAAATCCTGGAAGCATATTTTGAGGGGGAGCTTACACTTATTATCTTTATTATTTTAAGGCATGGTTTTGTCATCATCAAAAAGGGGGAGATTGTTAGGTTCTCTTTGTATTTTGATGATGATTTAAAACCATAAGTCAAAAGAGTTTAATCTATTTTTGTGCTAAGTGTGCAAGAAAATTAATCCAAGGTTTCTAATCTTTCCCCACGATTAGAATTAACTCATGTTCTCCTTGTTCAGAGTTCTGGGTTCGAACCAATTTATTTTGGTTCGAATCAATCCCGAACTTTTGTTTTCCGAAAATGGTTCGAACCATCATTTCTGGCTTCGAAGCAAAAAATTCTGAAAGGGTAAAATTTTGACAGCTCAACTATCCGTTTATTTTTAATGGCCTTGGGAGAACCAATTGTCTGAGTATTTTCTAAAGTCAAGTCAAAAACAATAAAGTAAGGTGGAATCCTATTGGAGCATATATGAGGTGGCTTTGAAGGGCTAAATGGGCAATTAATGGCAAGGCTCCAAAATCCCCTATTATAATCAAAAATTCAGATCTGGAAA